ATCCAACCTCGGTCTTTTTGGCACAAGGGATGCGGTTAGTTGAACCGATTTCAAAGGTTTGATAATTGAGCTTTGGCATGACGTACGCGTGGGAAGGTTAGCAAGCCTAGAATTGTCGGCCATGGAATTCGAAATAACCATCAACTATAACCCCAAACCAGGATTTGAAGTAGCCTCTTTCCAGGTTTCTTCTTCTTATAGCTTCACTTTTAATAGCTTCGTTCGTTCCTTCCCGGATCGGAAAATTGCGTAGATTGAGATGCAGCTCTTTGATCTCCACTTGGGTCAGCAGTTGAACTCGTTGCCGAAGACCTTGAAGCGGCTCCTTCGCTTTTCGTTCGAGTGCTGGAAAAAGCATATAGCCGCTGTTATGTTAGGAAAAACGCTGGAAAGGAAGTCGTGTAGGATAGGCATGCTTAAGGGTCTATTTTCTCGTCTGTGATCACGAATTGGATTTGAACCAATATCTCCGTGCGACTTTCCTCTTAGTCGATCGTGATGGGTCTGTCGTCCTCCTCATTATAGTCCTCCTAAAATCAATAGCATTTCGTCGGAATACATCCTGTCTTTTCACCTTAGTAGTCCTATGCATAGTCGGTACTATAGCCCCAATCATGGCTACTAATAAAATAAGACTAGGAACCAAAACCAGACGAAATAGTAGGTATAAAGTAAATTGCCCAATGTTTCCAAATTAGTCCAACTTCGTACCTTTCCGGCATAAACCGTATATCTCGGAGAGGTCGTATTTCTTTGGGTTGGTAGTAATGGAATGCTTTCATTATCTAAAATGAAGAACATTTCCCACCAAAAGATCAGTCCAATAATACCACTCACTGGTAAATAGCGCAAGACTTCTTCGTGAATCTCCGCTATTTGAATATGGAACATCATAACAACGAATAGGAATGAAACGGCTATAGCTCCTATATGAACTACGGGAAGATCATAGCGAAGAAGTCGAGACCTAACAAAAGAAGTAAACCTGAAGTATTGCGAAAGACTGGGATGGGAAACAAAACGGAATGTACCGGATTTTTAGCACGTACAACCATCAAACCAGAGACCAAAGCGGGGCTCGACAAAACAGAAAGTATCATAGTACGTCGTCCTTCCCGAAATGGAACTTTCATGCTAGTTCTTGCTCCAGCATGAAAGTAGATCTATTACGACCAGCGCGGTTGTTCGTATTTCATTTTCTTCTTCCAAGCCCTCGCACTCACTGAGTTACTTACGGAATCTCAAATCTCTCGACACCGAAAATCTCTTTCATATAGATAGAGGCGGGGCCCCTTCTTTTTAGATCGGAAGAGACTTGACTTAGGAATTGTATTTCCTTGATGTCACGTTCTTTTGGGCTCCACTCGCCGTGGGTGTCAAGCTCCGTCCGCTTCTCGTCAAAGAAGTCACTAAAGAGTTCGTCAGGAGCGTATGGGGCATCCTTGGACAAGTAAGGATGCTGAGCAAGAATTTTTTGAAAAAAGGAATAGCACTGGTGTTTCCCTTCTCGAATCTGGAGATCCCGATTCTCGAACTCCAGTTCTAGGTTATATTCTGACTGGGAAGAACAGCTTTTGAGCTTAGTCCTAATTTCCCCCCTCTCTTTATCAAGGAGAAAGATGCTTCCTTCATTTTCGAGTTTTACAACTCGAGCCCTTATGGAGGATTCAAGGCTCCCATTTGGAGTAAGGTCTGCTGGTGGGAGCGAAGGCCCTGCTTCATCGCCCGCCACCCCGGGGTCGAGGAATTTCCCTCAATTTCGGTATCCGAAAAGGTTCTAATAAGACCCCCATTTCGAATGAATCCTCCGTCCACGAAGACGAGCTCGGTGGACCGGAAGGCCCAGAGATTTCCCCACCCGAAGCGTACATAATTAGAAAAGAAAAAATAGGAACATGACTACAACAACTACCTAAGCGAGAAACTAAGTAGATGCGTAGAAAATAGCTAAAGAAAGAGATGAAAAAAAGAAGGATAATATAAAAAAAAGAACCAATTAGAATATTTATACCAGTCCCTATTTTATCGATTCCAATAGCTTCACTTCTAATAGCTTCGTTCGTTGGATTAAAGCATTTTTCTTTCGAGCTGGGAATAAGAGAACGAGCTAGACAGAAAGGTACCACCGAAAGAAGGTGTCGACCTCACTTTCGGTAAACCAAAGCAGAGAAAGCAACATGACATGCATATACTCCTTTAAATGCTGAAAAAGTAAACCCGAGCCACAATAATAGGGCCTAATCGAGAGTCACTTGCCCAAACCTGAGTCCACTTTGCTGCATATCTGTGTACTCAATCCAAGCTTGAATCTTTATCCCACGTGGATTTTTAACAAAGGAAAGCCCCCTACCCTAATGCCATTTGATTGATTAAAGTTCCGTGCTGCTCACCACTCCTCGAGGCCAAGGACGGGGTCGAACCGTCATTCCAGGATTTGCAGTCCGATACATTTCCATTATGTTACCTAGCCAAACCCGCCACCTCATGTGCCAAAGTAAAAAGGTTGTTCTTCCTTCTCCGCTCCCTCTTTTTCTACATATGCGGCGGCGGGTTACAGAGAAGAGGAGGGACAACTTATTTTTCCTTTGCCTTGCTCCATCTTCCTTTTCGATTAAAAGTAGCAAGCCGAACGAACGAAGTTATTAGAAGTGAAGCTATTATGAGTAGAGAGGCCAGATAGAAGGTTGCTCATCCAGCCCAGCGGATCCATTGTTTATGCGGCGGTGCAATGCAGCTGAAAAGGAAAGCCCTCCGTTTCATTTCTATTATGTCCGGGTGAGCTGATAAGAGTTAATCATTAATCGAAGAATATCTTTCCATTATTATATAATTTCAAGAGCATGTTCGGCTATTCCCTCTTATAGTTGATTCAGTATGTACCCTAGTCCCTACGGTGGACATATTATTCAGAGAGCCGCATAAACCCTAGATTGAGTTTAGAAACAAGAAGATTACAGCCTAGTGGAGTCTCTTCTTTAGGCTGGCACGGTCTTAGAATGCACGATAGAAGTGCGGACTCAAAGTAGTTTAGCGGGAGAAACCACGTGGGATAACGGTTCTTTGAAGGCTTTCTAACTTTCTTGCGAACCTTGCTTGAAAGACAGACAAAAGCAGAGGCAGGCTTAGTAAGCTTTCTCGCTGGATCAACGAAAAGCGGCTGAAACTCGATCGATGGAAGTTCCCTTGCCTGCTCGCTAACGGGAGAGGCCTTTCTACTTAGATTATAGGGCTAGAACTAAAGATTACGTAAGCTTAACCACTGCTTGCTTTCTTCCGTTTGACCGGACAGGACTCGGTCACCATACATAGGTAATAGCATGTCCCAATGCTATTTTCCGCGAAGAGCGCCGACCGTACTTGGCACGATTACCTTCTCATGATACATCCTTACCGTGGTCGGGGTTAGCAGTGACCATAAGTATCTTATGCCTAGGGTTAAAGGCGTGGATAATGTATTTGCTTGTGCCTTCACCATCTTAGAAGAAAGTTTTTCCAATGTCTTCATGAAAGACTGCCGGGGACTTACTCGTTATGAATGAAACCCCTTGCTCTGTGCCTTATTTTCCGGTACCGGTAGCGAAGAGTACTCTAACTATTGGAATCTCTTATCGGATCCATTAGCGGGTAGTAAACTTGGCGGGGAGAATAATACGTTTGGCGGTCAGTGCCCGCCTAACGAACGATGAGATTCTCGATCGATTTGATCGAATTATGAAAAGTCTTTCTCACTATTCAGACGGGGATTGATAGCTTTCAAGAACCGGTGGAAAGGAAAGAGTTGTTCCTGCATTCCTTCCTTTCCAAAAATAGGAATATTTCTTATAAGGATTTCCCAAGCGAGTGGAGTAGTAGAAAGGAGTGGAAGGTCTGAAGTTCGTTCATAAAAGATTTTTTTGAATTTCGTAGATAACCGATCTCGTACTTTCGTTGATTTGACAGCGATTAAGGAGGAGTTGAACCTCCATAGTGTTGAAACTAGCGACCCACTAATCGCCATCCACCCACCCTTTCTTTGAACCTTGTCAATGATCGAACTTAAAGATATAAACTGAGTGCCATTTGATGAGTAACGAGAACAAAGGAGAGGGATATAGAAAGAATGAAGTAATGAAAGAGGAAGTCATTGCTAGTAGTAACGACTTGTCACGATCCATTGGTTCATATAGAATCCATGTCCTAGGTGTATCAAAAAACATTCTTTTCGCTAAGCGTATATAATAAAATAGAGTGAAAGGGTCCACCCCGAAACCAAGCCAAGGGGTACTAACTAACAGTGAGTCCTCTCCGAACCGCAGGAGATAGTTGCCCATCATACGGCTCACCAACTTCACTTGCCTCTATGGGGGCTCGCTCCAAGCAGTTCGGATCACTTACAATACACGGCTCTACGACGAAAGGGTTGGGTTTTAGAAGCGTTTTCAATATTCTTCTTTTTTGTATTTGTTTGATGAGAAATGCGAGTCTGTTTTGTCCACTTTCTTCTCTATAAAAATGATCAAAAAGAAGGCGAGCTTGCTTCTTATTCCCGTGTTTGATCTCTTCCATCTCCGCCTCGCTCGTTGTCACCTATGTTGAAGAAAGGTTTGGAACCCTGTAGAGAATCAAGGGGGCCACAAAGAGATTTCTCTCAACGGTGCTTTTCGAGCCTCCCCTGAATAAGTAAGGCCCCGTTAGCCTGGGCGAAGATGGAGATAAAGAGCAAGGATTGAAGCCCTCTTAGCTCTGCCGGCACTGGACGGGGTTACTCAGTAAATGTGTAGAGCCAAGTGTAGTGTGGTGTAGTAGGCAGCACTTCTAGGCCCCTTCCGGCTCTGGATTACTCCAGTGCTTCGGGTACTATGGACCCTCTGCCATCCATTGCATCGAGCCCTTTCATGAGCGGGGGGGGGCTAAGCGCAGTTCTTTGAATCAAAGGTTGAATGAAATCTATTCTTTTTTAGATATCCAAATAAAAAAAAAGATAGGATAGATGGATGTCTCTATCTTTCTATTCATATATATTATGAATTAAAATGGATTTTTATAGTTAAGTAGCGTAGCAAGAAGCCCCCAATCCTTGATTTGGCCAGAAAGACTGCTTGCTTTGGGCCCGGAAGCGAAGGGAATGAGCTCGGCTGCTTCTCCTCCACACTTCTTTTTCTTTGTGCCCGTTCCGCATGCGCTTCGCGCGCCATTGGCGCTTTGCTCTCCTCTTATTCTTCATTGGACGGTTCGGATGGACTTCGCCGTTCTTTCCCAACTAAAAAAGAAAGGGCTGTATCACATCGAGATGTCGATTCGTTTTCCGCCCCCAATGAGATGGGAATTTGGAACCCCCATTTATACTTTTGGCCCTTCATCTTTCTGAATTGAAACCCGGCCCGGCTCGCGTCGTTCCAACAACCGGCGGGAGCACCTCGATATACGATCGCGCGCGATGGCGAGAGTCCTATTAGACCTAAGGCCAACTTCAATTCACCAAACCAAGGTTCATCTCGTGTAGTGATTGTGGACTCGTACAAGGATATTGAGTAGATGGTTGATGGATCAGACCCGACCCTCTCTTTCGTAGCATGCATTCCCATCCGTGTTGCAACCGATTCGGTAAGCTACGTGTCCGGTGCACGGAGAACTGCCTTCGGTCTCCCAAACCGACTTACTCGTGGCAACCTTCCGGCCGCCCAACGACCTATAACGCTAGTCACTACTCCCACTGGGGCTAGGAAGTAAGCCCCACAACCCAAAGCGGCGAAAAACAAATAAAATTTGCTACAAAAGCCGGCTAACGGGGTATTCTGCGTATGAGAACATAGTAATGGAAAAGGTAATAGCCAAAATAGGATTCGTTTTGGCTAGAGCGCCCAAATCAGCTATATATTTGACACGGGTTTGCCGCAATGCTAAAACTATGGCGAATGCATCTATCGTCATTAATGCATAAATAAAGATACCAATTAGTAGTGATTGAATTCCTTCTATGGTTCCACATGATAAACCAGTACGAATATAACCTACATGTCCAATTGAACTATAAGCTAGAAGTCTTTTTACTTTCGTTTGGGCCATGGCGGCCGGTGCTCCTAAGACCATAGAAGCAATGCTGCAGAAAAAAAGATTTGTTGCAATGTAGCCCCATAAGAACCATAAATAGAAACACGTGAAATATTAGCGAAATAGAGATTTTAGGCGCAATAGAAAGAAATGTCAGAATCGGGGTGGGTGAACCCTCATAGATATCAGGTGCCCACATATATAGAGTCAAAGAGATATGGAGTCCGAAGGGAGGGGGTTTCTTCGGGGCTCGAGAGATGGAATAAATAGGGCCCCACAAGTTTAGAATTCTAACCGGGAATTCACACGAAAGGGAACGGGAATTCTCAACGAAAAAGTGCTCTCGAACCGAACGTGAAAGTAGTTTTCCATCGACGGCTGTTCCTGTAACTCTACTCTCGACTTGGATTATATATCCAAAAAGGTCCGCTCTCGGCCATTCCACACGCTGCCTAGCAGAGGCGTGCTTATCGAAGTGGATTCTCTCTTTTGTAGTAGATGCCGAACCTGCTGTGCCCCATTGACTAAGAAGGGGCGGGCGCAGCAGCTACATGGACCCCTTCCTTTCTGTTGTTCCCAGCGCTTTCCGGGCCGAGCCGGAATTTTTAATGGTTGGGGAAGCATTCCCTTATCTGAACTTGGCGGGCATTCTTTCCATCCTTAGTCAAATAGGGAGTGGGTTTAAACATAGGCCCAAACATGATTGGAAGGGTCCTAGCTACGCCATGCGTTCAATACAAAATCTGGAAAGCTGCAGGGATGACAAAGAGGGCGCTTTCCTCATTGCGCTGAAAAAAGGACCTAAGATAAGAGCGCCTTATCTTAATCTTAGGTTTCGTTTCTTCCTCCCGCGCCCGTCGCCGCCCGGCCCGCGTTATTAGTGGAAGATTAGCAAAGCGGGAAAAGGCAGAGGGAGGGGAAGCAGCATCTTATTCTCTTCGCGAGAACTTCCGGATCGGAGATCGGAACGGGCGGAGCGCACCTTTGCTTTGGTAGGGCGACGAAAGGCTACTTCAATTGAGGCTGCTAAAGAAGGAAACTCGAGAGGGTCGCCTTATCTAATAGCTTCACTTTGTTCGTTCATAGCTTCGTTCGCGGTAACCAAGGCCTCACTCCTTCCTTTTGATTATGTCGTGACGCTGACTGAATCCAATCGAGAAACCCGGAAACGAAACTTCGTTCCCTTTCGTCCAGTAAGTAAAGTAGGTATACGAACTTCTTTGCCTTAGACTCTATTGGAACAAAGCAAAGAAGGGCGGAATGAAGAAAGGAAGGGGACAAGGGCGGTCTTGCTTGGCGCGAAGGCTGCTGGTTCGGGGGTAGAGTACAGTACTAAAGGTCCTCGGACTTCCAGGCGGTATTTCTTTTGGGCAGCTGTTCACCGTTGGATCTCGCCAATACAGCCCCCTATAGTTTTCGTTACCGAGATATCTTTTTTTTTCATTGTTCCCAGGGATTTTTTGGGTAATCTGCTTCCATGCTGCAAACAGTCCAATCTGAACTTGACTTTGTCGCTCTTCTTTCTTTCCTTGCGGCAGGGAAGCACACCAGCAGCGTGCGTTGCGTAATTCTACTGTGTTTTTGCACTTGACTGGGTAGACAGTTGACCGGAAGAGAACTTCGATTCGCCCGGCCAGCAGGCGGGCGGCGTGCTTATCTTGTGTGACAACACTACAGAAAGCGGCGCTTCTAGGCGGGCAGCTCTGTGACAACACTACGAGAAAGCGGCGCTTTCGTGTAACATGCTATGGTCTCAACGCCCTTACGAGGTAGTGATGAGTTTCACGCGCTCTAAGCCCGGCCCGCGTTATAGGGGAAGATTAGCCGCAATCCGAGCGGTACCACCTCCCCTACCCTACCACCTATAGGCGGCCGTCCGTCCTACAGCCGCCCGAAAAGGAACTGCAGTGATCTTGAATAGGAATCCTACAGCGATAAATAGAATCCCCATAAAAATACCACTAGATCGAGCACCAGTGATTTCGTATCCGGTCAAAATCTTGGCTAATTGATCGAAGTGGGTAGCTCCATAGACCCATAGATCATGGAACAAATAGGGTGGGTAGGCCCAAGCACCACAGTACACGTATAGACGCGAACCCCCCTCGTTACCGTACGTGCAACTCTCACCGCATACGGCTCGCACAAAGACTCCTAAATCCATCCCGAGCCTTTTTTCTTTCACCTCTCCAATCCTCGATCAAACTTGCGTTCCCCAGGCGCTATGAAATGGGGGTCTTTCCTTCGCCTATCGTATATATATCGGCTTGGCTTCGTCCCGAACCAAGGAGGCATTGGCGGACGCATGCGTGTAGGAAGGCCGACCACTACATAAGCTAAAAGAGTACGACTACAAGACAAGCCGGAAGCTACTCGCTTCGATTCTCGTTGGGATTGGATATAGATAGATGGGGAATTTATAGATCGTAGTAGTTCTCGTCAACCTCTCTAACTAACATACGATACAATTTCACTTCACGGCACGGCCAAAAAAAGAAAGAGCTTCGCTCGGTTGGCCTTCCTACGCTGACGAATGCCTATTGAATCTTCTCTGAAGTTTATAACAAACAAGTGGGAGAGGCAGGATTCGAACCTACGTAGAAAAACTTCAACAGATTTACATCTGTCGCTTTTGACCACTCGGCCACTCTCCCTTTCCGGGCTGAGGCCCCCTCAATAGGTTATAATTCTAAGAAGGGCGGCGCCGTGAATCAATCACAAAGCTTATGCATTTAATTGAAGGAAAGAAACTCAAACTATTAGCTTAGCTAGCGTGGAGGAGAATCTAGTCATTTAGTCGGTTTATAACAATCTCTGTAAAGCAAGGGGTAAAGCTTCTACGAGAGCTTCCCCTCGTGTAGTCGTCGGCCTTCCCCAGCCCCCTTCGTCGCTTCCGCGAAGCTGCGAGCCTACTTAAATAGCTTATGCTTACCAAGCCTAATCTACTAAAAAGGGCTACAGCAAGCTTTCCCCTTCGTTTGTTGTGGGTCGAGCCTCGCCGTAGGCACTGAATGAATGAAATGAGTGGAGATCCTCCTTCCCCCTTGCTAATTACCAAGAACTTCGTTGCCACTAGTAGCGAAAATAAATTAGACCATCCAACCCAAAAACAAGTCGGAGCCTAAAGAGAAGAGAGTTCAGTCTACAAGAAGTGGCGAGCTTTAGCCATTGGGCCACATCCATCTATCCTACCTAAACATTAACCTTTTTATTGTTCGTTCTTCGAATGACGCTAGTGGAGACTAATTCCTTCCGGCTAATGAAGATACTACTCAAGTCTTCCCAGCGGATCCTTCTTCTCCCTAAGAATTAAACGAACCAAGTTCACCTATACGAGAGTGAGGAATAAAAACCAACAACAAACAATAAACTTCCCACTTTTGATGTCCCACGATTCTGCTAGTTTAGAAACTAAGGAGAAGAACAGGGGTCGCTAGGTCAGAAAAGCAATAACTAAAAATTCTCCCCAAGTAAGGAACGAATTCGCCAATTATGAGTTGGGCGCTTTAACCATTCAGCCATGGATGCATGAGACTCAGCGAGTGAACTAGGTTTTGGTATTCCTTCTCGAGCTTCTATTTCTTCGGTTAAGGGAGATTCGAGAAAAGATGGAATAGGAAGACGTGTTTCCGAACGAACAAGGTACGGGTTGAGAAGGGGAGTTAGCAAAGTTAGACAAGATTGGAATAGGCATAGAAACATGTATTGATGTACCAGATCGGCTAATGCTGCCAGGTTGATGCGATGTATTCCACCAGTTGATGAAGACTTTATTATTGGTATATCAATCGGTCCAGCACGGATTGAAATAGGAGCCGGTTCGACAGAAAGCTTTTGAAAACACAGTGCACCCAGGTAAATAAGGAACAAGATCAATACAGAGGTTAAACGAGCGTCCCACACCCAAAAGGTGCCCCACATAGGTCTTCCCCAAAACCCCCCAGTAACTAAGGTAAACAACGTAAAAAAAGCACCTATTTCTATACCGGTTCCGGAAGAGCGAAGAAAAAGGGGATGCTTTGTTAATAGGAACAAAAAAGTGTTTATAGCCGTTGCGATATAAACAAGAATACTCATCCGAGCCGCAGGAACATGTACATACGGAATACGAGAATTTCCACCTTGTTGAAGATCTAGTGGTGCT